AATCCTAAATGTTCACTCAACAGTGGAAAAAATAAAGCACGTTTTTACTTGCAGCTTATCTATACTTGCTTCCTCATAGCTGTACATGGTCCCCTTGCATTTTTCATATTATTTCCCAAACAATATATATAACGTGTCTTTCTCCACAATCGTTTCAGCACACAATTTCAGGGTCACCTACATAGTAATGCTCAGCATTTGCTCGTGATAATAGACACAGATGCTCAAAGTCACCTGGAGAGAAAGTGGACATACAGATTCACCACTGCTTAGCAATGCCAATGGGTATCTGAGCAGGCTCATGAGCCAATGTTCCGGTTTGGTTAGCAAAGTACTGTTAAGCCTAATAGCAACAGGATACGGGGCTCTTTGTGATGGAAAATCTGTACAGAGAATGTGAACTTGGGTCTTCAGGGTTTTTATTGAATTAAGTCCCCAACTGGGTAACACTGTCTGGCAAAAGGGAACAATGGCTGTGCCTCTGAGGCATCTTCTGAAGAGATGTTCAAGCAATTAAACTATTTTAAATCTGCATCAAGCTGCTTGCTTTTGCTTACTTTATCACTGAGGCTTCCACACGATGTGGTGATGGCCATTAACCTAGGTGACGTTAAAAAGGAATTTGACAAATCCATGGAGGATAAAGCTATCCATGTCTATTAGCCATGATGGCTAAATGTGACCAGAGACAACATGCCTCTGAATACCAATTGCTGGGGGGCAGCAGTGGGGCAGTGCTAGTGTGCTCCTGTCCTGCTTGTGGGCTTCCCATGTGCATTCAGCTGGCCACTGTGAGAAATAGGATGCTGGACTAGATGGGCCTTTGGACTAATCCAGCAGAGCTCTTCTTGCCAGGCCAGTCCCATAACTACAAGTTCCCATGTAAAGCGAGTAGAGATGGTGCCAAATTACCTTGAAATTTGAGCGTCAAGAAGAGTGGTCTTGTTAAAAATCGATCCCATCCCCTCTGAGATGACCACAACTCAAAATGTGGTAAATACTAAAGGTAAAGGTAAAGGACCCCTGAACAGTTACGCCCAGTCAAAGGCAACTAGGAGGTTGCGGCGCTCATCTCGCTTTCAGGCCGAGGGAGCCGGCGTTTGTCTGCAGACAGTTTTCCGGGTCATGTGGCCAACATGATTAAATTGCTTCTGGTGCAATGGAACACCATGACAGAAACCAGAGCGCACGGAAACACTGTTTACCTTCCTGCCGGAGCAGTACCTATTTATCTATTTGCACTGGTGTGCTTTCGAACTGCTAGGTTGGCAGGAGCTGGGACAGAGAAACAAGCTCACTCCATTACAGGGTTTTAAACCACCGAGCTTTCGATCGGCAAGCCCAAGAGGCTCAGTGGTTTAGACTACAGCACCACCCGTGCCCCACGCATGGTTAATACTATCCCTGTTGCTACTCACCCGTTCCTGCTGGTCAACCCCCCTCCCCCATCAAAAAAAGGTAGGTGATTAGGAGGGCCTCACTTCCACAGAAGAGAAGCATATTGCTTGTGCCAAAATAGGCTTAAATACTGTCATGCAGAGACTTTGGTGACCTGGCTGAGCGAATGATCTGCATGCTCTGAATAGCAAAAAGTGCCAATCTAGTCCTGCAGGAGCAATGAATATGCTTGATTCCTTGCAAGAGACATTTTGCCTTATACACTTATCAGCAAACGGGAAGAGGCCCACCCAGACACCCTTTTCGCTGCCTATTCATGATGATTTGAGCTGCTGATGCTATTGGAGCAGTCACACACAATCCCACTTTCTGCACTATTCATGTCTGCTTCGTTTCCAGTCTGAGAATATCTCATAACATCTTGCTGCTGTTCTGTAACTTTTTATACCATGAATGTCTGGTTTCTTTTTCTCCCCCTTTCGCTTTGCTACAGGGCCCTGGACAGCAATGATGTGGCAGCTTTGGGAAACATCGGAGAAGCATTAATAAAACAAAATAAATCCACCACAAATGCATTATTATTGCGTTAAGGATAAATCCATATTAAAACACCGGTTTGGAGAGGCCAAGGGCAACAGAACAATCATTCTATCACAGGTTTCCTCTAAACTATTTAGCGAATAATAAATTTTATGTAAGGAATCAAGGTTTCCATTGAATTATTTGAACTGAGGAGGCATCGTTTTGGTCTTGGGTGTTTTGTGCATGCATTTTGCATTTTTTGGATTGTAAATGGGACTGCTTTGTGACTGTTGATGCCCACGATTTCTTCTTCATTTCTTTAGTGGAGAAGTTGCTTTAATGATTATGATTTTTAATTATCTAGCAAGTATTATGGACTCATTCTTAAATTTAAAAAATCATTTAAAAATGAACTAAATTATAGGGGGGGGGTATGTATGTATCACACATAAAACTGCCAGACTTGTACAACAGAGCCATTTCAAAGAGAAAAAGTTAAAGCGATTTCAACCCATTGCTGCCATTGTATATAATGTTACCCATTAAAATACATGGGCAGCATATTGCTGGAGCTCCATAGCAGAACAATTGTGTTTATTCATTTTCCTAGGTGAATATAATGTGTGAATATCAGCTGTTGCTGCTAAGTTTAGAATAATATCTGGATTTTAGCACAAATGCTTCTCACTGAATAGGCAAAATAAAGACATTTTAGAAATGTTAGGTCGGTACCACCTATTGTTAATGTATATAGTTTTTGTGGCACATGGTGTATCAACTGTTGAAAATTTAATTTGCATTCTCTGTGGAGACTGGCTGTCTCATTTTTAAGTATACACGCTGTCCCTTTCTTTCTTTCCTTCATGCAATATCAGCTTCCATGGTTTTACTTCTTAATTTAGGATACCATGGATATGGATGGAAACAAAATATGTTCAGAATTAACAATTGATGGCTTGACATCCTTTTCTCCTATTACTAATCCTCCATCCACCATCTAGTTAACAGGAAGGTTAGTAACAGGAAAAAAGGATTTCTACCTATAAATTGTTAATTTTGAATACAGTGGTACCTCGGGTTAAGAACTTAATTTGTTCTGGAGGTCTGTTCTTAACCTGAAACTGTTCTTAACCTGAAGCACCACTTTAGCTAATGGGGCCTCCTGCTGCCGCCGCCTCACGATTACTGTTCTCATCCTGAAGCAAAGTTCTTAAACAGAGGTACTATTTCTGTGTTAGCGGAGTCTGTAACCTGAAGCGTATGTAACCTGAGGTACCACTGTCTAGCCCAGGCAAACAACTCCCCAGAAGACAGATAATTTTAAGGCAAATGTCTAAAAGTGCAGTTGTACCCATGTCTACTCAGTTCAGAGAGACGTACTCCCAAGTTTCTACAGGATGGCAACCTAAATTAAGGTTACCAGATGTCCCCGTTTCCCAGGGACAGTCCCTGGATTTACAAATCAGTCCCCTGACAAAATCCATCTACTTAGTAGGAAGTTGAAAAGTGTCCCCAGATTCATTGAAAAAAATCTGGTAACCTTAACCTAAATCTATGAAAAGTATTATAGAAATGCTTTGACCAGATATGTCATTTTTTACTCCATAATTTTTCTCCCCGTGGAAACGCTAAGCAGCTTGCAAGGCTGAAAGCAATAAAATGTTGCAACAAAAATAAACATCGTCATAAAAAGCAGACCATTCAAGGCAACAACAGATAATAACTAATTCCAAAACAATAGTTTCCCCATAACACTTGAACGAACGACAGAACCAAAGTGCCTCTCAAGGAATGGATGTTGGGATCTGAGTCTTTCGCCCTGTACCAATAAAACTACTAGTACAATTTTGTTACCTAGACTTCTGTCACTATAGAGACATTGCCAGTGCTTCAATCTAACATTACCCAATGTTCTGATCTACCAACATGGCATCGCATTGCCTGCAACCTCATCAGAAGTGAATTCTTCGTTAACAGCTTCAGTTAGTACATCTTCTACTCTGCCTTTCAGCATGTGATGTTTTTGTACCCTGAGAAAATGATGAAGATGACTACATATAAAGGACCTGTTGATGATGCTTGCCTGTCAATAATTTACATTGCCCAGAAATATAGTTGATAAAGAGGGAGATTACTATAACCTAGTACTTGCCTAAATGCTATACAAACATTTGCACATTATCTGGCCTTGCAAATGTTTGGGAAGGTATTGTGAGGAATGAGCAAACTGGACTTTCATAATTCTAAGCGTGGAAAGATTAATCTGATCTATAGACCAGCTACTTTAGGACTCACTTGCCTTTTCTAAGCAGCAGAAATTTATTCCACTGTATTGTACTTCACTTCTCTTTGCACTGCTGTTAGCAGTACAAAGTTGACTTATAAGGAGTTAGTCTGGGGATGAGAAACCAGCACCCTCCGGATTTTCCAGATTCTATCATGCCAGGATGGTGGAAGTTGTAGTTCAAGTTCCTCAGCCCTGATTTAACGTATTGTTGTATATGTTGGTTTTTGTCCTGATGACGCATAGCCAATCCACAGTACAATGCAAATCACACTGCAGTGAAACTTACACAAAGCCATCATATGGATTTCTCTTGCTGTGTAGATACACCTCAAGGGTCCATTTTTCAAAAAATCTAACCCGAAGAATCTCACTAAGCTTTGACATTATTATTTTTTTCATTTTAGCATTGCAGAAGATGTCTTCTTTGCCTATTCTATGGGAGACTTAAAATGGTAATTGTTTGGAAAAACTAATGATTCAAGGTGGGAGCCAGAATAAGTTGCAATGGCCTGGGAGTAAATCTCAATGAATGCAGTGGACTTACTTCGTGAGAGCAGGATAATGCTTAGTTTCATAAAAGAACCAAGTCATTCACTCTTCCTTCACCTAACTCCTAATTCTTCTAAGGATCTGTAAAACGGTTAGGGAACCTTTTCTGCCAAGTAGGCTGGATTTCCCTGCATGTCATGGGCCACCTTTGACAGATGGGCCACATACCTGTGAATGATCTGATGTCATAATTATGTCAGGAGCTTGACAGTTGCATAGTCCCTCCTACCCATCAATGTTGACCCATGGGGGTGGAGGGGAGACAGTGACCAAGCAGGACTGAGCATCAGCGTATCGCCTAATGTGCAGGAAGTTCAACCTGGATTTCTGCAGGGTATGGGTATGTGAGCAGCCAATCCAGCTGCATCTCCACCTGCCCTACAGATCAAGTGTGGGGCAGGCAGGCATGGGTTTTATGTTGTTGTTCCGTGGCGAGTTCCTGCCTCCCCCCAGTGGAAATAAAGACACATGACACGAATATTTAGGTTAATGGGCAAAAAATGGCCACAACTTTATTGGTTACAGGAATGAGTGGTATTGGCTTAGGCATTGGTCCTAACTGACTATCCGGCTTCAGCCCAATTGCTTGAAGACAGGGAAGGGGGTCTTGAAGACCACCACTAGGGGGCGTCCTGCTGATGCACACCAACTAGGAGCTCCCCCGGGGTCACTGCTCGGGGGCGTGCCTTAGGCCCTCACCTCCATAGGCTTCGGACAGGGCCACGCCCCCCGGAATCCTTTACTGGACTACCCTTCGATATTCAGGGGAGGTGATGGCGCTTCCTCCCCCCTTCATCTGCATGAGAATACCCCTACCAATGCCTAACCGCCACTCGAGCAAAAGCTTGCCGCCAATACCCTCAGACCTGCAACCAATCCCTAATCCCAGCAGATATGTCAGCCAACCAAACAAACATCATTTCCCGATGAGCTGAGGCGGCAAAAGAGGGAGATCCATGGCCGTGCCAGTGTGATGTCGTGCAAGCCACGCCCCCCCTTGGCCAGCCGATTGGCTGGCCAGGGGATGACGCGGCCAGGGATCCCCTCAATCGCGCGGAGGCTGAGAGCGTGAAGCCCGCAACTCCACCTCCTCTCGAGTTCGGAAGTGGTGTTGTTGTTGTTGTTGTTTTTAAAAAAGGAAATTTTGTGGGGGGCCCTACCACTAATCTTTAAATACTGCTTCATTTCGCTGTTTTAGAAAATTCTACTGACTACATTAACAACATAAAAACAGCACAGCTGGATCAGACCAAAGACCTGTGGAGTCCAGGATCCTGTTCACACAGTGGCCAGCCAGGTGTCTATGAGAAGCCTACAGAATAACAGCGCTCTTCATACATGATTCCCAGAAACTGATATTCAGAGTGGTACCTTCCCTGGAAGTCAGTCAGATCAGGCCAAGAGGACCCTTCTTAATCTTGAACAACCTTCAATGGACACATTTGCTGCATTCTGACTTCACAATAAACTCTGGTGTATCATGATGGGGTCAAGCCTAGCTTTCTCCTGGGCTCACAAGCTTCTCCCTCCGCATCTGGTGTGGCCACAAAGAAGCTATGCTTAATTAACTGTAGAATGTCAAGTGGTATGACAAACTGTGGCTAATCTTACTCATTGCTTGTTTGCTGCACACCCTTGCTTATTGGCAATATTGGTCCAACCACAGCCACTGCCTTCTTGGGACAAAATTCTCTGCTGGCAGCAATTAAATAATAATACAAGCTACTGAATTTTCGTGGTGGGTAGGAGAGAATAAAATAAATAAATGCCTTGAAAAAGTTACACAGATACCTGCCCATTCCATGGTAACATGTCTAGATAAAGGCCCAGTTTGAATGTAGTGATAGTAGCCTAATAAACCATGATTTATCAGGCTAAGAATGAGCACTGTTCTTATCCACTCCCTTTTCCTCTTTCCTTGTAACTTAATTCAACGATTTGCATAGTTCCTTACACAACAGTGGTCCATTATGTCCAAACGGGGAAACTGTGCTTTGACTACAAAACAGGATTGCAGACCATAGCTTGATTCTGGTTTACAAGATAAAACTGTAATGAGAGCTTAAGCCACCATTTCTTATTTTCATCACAATGGGAAAATGTAGTTTTAGAAACCCTGGAAACAAATAATTAATGTGCAAAAGAGAAAGGAGGAAGGAACTCATGGGCTTATCTCTTTCTTCACAACGTTTTTAAAAATCTATGTCTTTTTCTTGCAATGTGTTATTTATTATTAGTATTAATAATAATAATAATAATAATAATAATAATAATAATATCCTGCCCTATACCTGGGGATCTCAGGGCAGTTCACAGAAAAAAATCAGTATTGTCAGAAAACTTTTGTTTCTTTGATAAATTTATTTATTCTTTCTTCTGAGGGTTTTTTGTTTTTCTAGCAAAAGTTTTTGTAATAGAACGTATTAGATCAGTATTTCCATTTTGGTTTTCTTTATGATGGGAAGTTGAATTAGAAGTGTCATTAGATGTGGCTTTGTTTATTACATCAACAAAGTCAACTTCTGACATTTCTGATTGCAATGTATTTGGTGTATACTGTGACTCCACAATAACCAAGGTTTCTGCAATTTATTCTTGGCTCTAATTTTTGTCCACTAATTTTATTAGTATTTTTTGGGGTTTTCAGGTATTAAGGTCTGCTTTAAATCTCTACATTTTCACTGTTCTTTCCCAATCTTCTTAATTGAAGACACTTTCAAAAATAACATATTTTTTGCTCTATAAGACTCACTTTTTCCCTCCTAAAAAGTAAGGGGAAATTTGTGTGCATCTTATGGAGGGAATGTAGGCTGCGCAGCTATCCCAGAAGCCAGAACAGCAAGAGGGATAGCTGCTTTCGCTGCACAGCGATGCCTCTTGTTCTGGCTTCTGAGATTCAGAATATTTTTTTTCTTGTTTTCCTCCTCCAAAAACTAGGTACGTCTTATGGTCTGGTGCGTCTTATAGAGCGAAAAATACGGTAATTCCAATTCATAATTCTATTTTTATAGGATTGTTCAGGATGCTAAATTATATGTAAATATACACTTAAATCAGTTTGGAAGCCTGCTATAGTACTGAATGGAATAGAATTGTAATGAGTATGGGTTGCTCGTGCGTAAGTTGCCGCCTCTCCTGGCTATGTTGCCTTGTTTAAACCTTTCTGTCTGGACAGCCATTCACTTTGTGGCTGCCTCAGTCGCTAGCAGAATCCGTCAGTGGGCGTTTCTTAAACCTTTTCCAACATAAAAGTTGTTTGACGCCAAGTCTCCTCCTACTCTCCCTGCACGGAAGCCTTCTGCGCAGGGAGGGCATGGGTAGCGGAGGACCCGTGCTCTCCCCACTGGTGTCCGGTGAAGAGTCCTGGAGCCCTCTCGCCGATTCCCCCATCTGCCCCCCTTTATCTCTGGTGTTGCGCTGATTTGCTTCCCCATCTGCTGAGCTGCCTCTCTCCCTGCTGGGCCCTTCTCCAGCATCATTTGAGAGCCTCCCCTCCGCCTCTAGCTCCGATGTCAGTTCCCTGACAAGAATGTTTAGCAAGTAACATTTTATTTTACAGTTTTTGCCTTGGAATATACTTTAACTACAAAGGGGTGTGAGGGGTTGTGAAATACCATCTAGAAAAACCTAGGTTGGGAGATACCCTCATCCCCACTATAGACCCTGAGGACATTTAGATCTTAATAGGGGGGAAATATGACTCCTATTAATTGTGTTCCAGACTACACAAACAAGACCTGGATCTGTAGCATATCTCGTCCCCATAAACACAAGCCAATTCTCAGCTGCCTCGCTGATGCATAATGTGTACTTTTACTGCTTATGCATATTAGCAGGATATAGCAAAATTAACTATTCTGTGAAACATATGGAAAAATACCGTGAATAGTAGTCCACTTCACTATAGAATGCTGGATTACACAACATCAAAGGGATTGCAATGCCCTCTGTAGGCTCATTCTGCACATCACACCCAAGAACCAATGTTTTCCTTTTATACAACTATAAAAATACATAGGGAACCAGTTTCTTGAATTGCTGACCTGAAAAATCAGCCCTTAACATTACAATCTATAGTCTCAACTAGTTCTTAGTATAACAGGTAAGTCATATCACGAAATCAGCCTTCTCGCTGATAGCACCCCACCTATGCAACTCCCTTCCTCCTAGAAATTTGGCCAGCACTTACAATGTTCATCTTTAGAACCAGCTAAAAACCTGGCTATGTAGCCAAGCCTTTGAGGAGCGAATAATATTCAGCTGGATTAGGTCACCGCTGCAGTTCAATGATGGCCTGAAATTGATTTTTATCTGTTTTTTATGAGCATGGAATGTGATGTTTAATGAGCTTCATTGTCCCTTTCCCTGAGATCTTTGAATATAGGATGGGCTATAAATATTGTAGTTAGATGAAATGAACTCCCATCTGTGGCAGCACGGTGTGCTAGTTGAGGCAAATGGAAGCAGTGATCTAAAACATCTGGGGTGTCCTAGAAGGATGCAAGAGGTTCTCTCTCACTTTCTAACCTACAGCTGCATATCGCTCCCAGACCATAGAATTGAATCATAGAATTGTAGAGTCAGAAGGGACCCTGAGGATCATCTGAAGGAGCGTCTCCACCTCCATCATTCTGCCTGGTCACTGAGGTCCAGTGCCGAGGGCCTTTTGGCGGTTCCCTCACTACGAGAAGCCAAGTTACAGGGAACCAGGAAGAGAGCCTTCTCGGTAGTGGCACCCGCCCTGTGGAACGCCCTCCCACCAGATGTCAAAGAGAAAAATAACTACCAAACTTTTAGAAGACATCTGAAGGCAGCCCTGTTTAAGGAAGCTTTTAATGTTTAATAGGTTATTGTATTTTAGTGTTCTGTTGGAAGCTGCCCAGAGTGGCTGGGGAAACCCAGCCAGATGGGCGGGGTATAAATAACAAATTATTATTATTACTATTACCTAGTCCAACCCCCCTGCAATGCAGGAATATGCAGCTGTCCTCTATGGGGTTCAAACCTGCAACCTTGGAATAATCAACACCACGCTCTAACCAACTGAGCTAACAGCTCCACACATTTTCAATTCAGGTCAGGGCTATTGCATTGCTTTCTGGGTGACCAGTCAACATTTTTCACTCTGTTTGTCATCGGTCATTTCTGAGCTGAGGAAATCCGCTTCTTGTTACAAAAGGCAGTTGTGCTTCCCTTTCTGGTTATTTGGATATAACCTTTGATATGATAAAGATGATTCAACACAGTTTGTTGTATTGCAATCTGCATTAGATTATCTTTCTAATGATATATAATTTTATGGCATTATTTTATGGTATTATTCTAAAAAAGGGGGGCTGTTATGAGCCAATTTTGGCTGCTAGTGTACTCCTGGGTCTCTCCCCCCATCCCACCCCCCGGCCACAAGCACGCTGATGAGTTCCTGCTTCTCAGTGGTTGTGTTTTTGTGACAATCCTTGTGGCACTCACTGCTTGATTATCTTATCAGAGGGATTGATGGTGGAGTACAGAGGAGGCATTGGGGAGGGGACTGTGTTCTCCATTGGCAGTGCTGAATCCTCCATTAACATCTAGTTACAATTGTTTGAAACTTTGTGCTGGAACAGTGCACAATCTTTATAATCCTTCCCCTTGTAGCAAACACGCTTTTCTGTGTTTTGATCAGCATCACGCAGCTCCTTAAAATTTATCCCAGCAGGCACATAGTCCTTAGTCACATAACACTTGCCAATCAAGACTCATAATGAGCCAAGGGGGAAAAAAGAGAGATCCTTTGCCTGCGATACTCACACAGTGACAGACATCAATATTTGCATGCACGCGCACAGCTAGGTCTTTTTTATGTTAGGTCTTTTATAGTATTATCATCATTATTTTTATTATTAGGTAGAGAATGAATTGCCTCCTGACTCCAGAGGAAAGAGATCTTTCATTTGACTGACAGCATCAACTCAATGTGCTGTGGCAGTAAAATACAGTACAATCACAACTTACGTGGGGATTCGGTTTCAAGGGTTCTGCATATATTTAAAAACATGTATTTTCGAGTTCTTGCGGAAGCATCTCACACCCGGGCGAGAGGAGAGAGCCTAGCTTGGGAAGCAAGGCAGAAAGCTTAAAACTTCTTTTTTTGCTCCAGGAAAATCCAGCAAAAAAAGAGTTTTTAAGCTCCCTGCCTTGCTTCCCAAGCAAGGCCCTCTCTGCGCACCGGTTCCGTATTTAACTTAAGGGATTTAAACCAGCCAGCCTTCAACTGCATATAGTTGAAATCATGCAAGTTAAATGTGCGCAAGACAGCTTCTACAAGTTGTATTCAGTAGGCTTTTCCACAAATGGAAGGACTGTTCTTGGAAGCGCTACTTCCTTTCCCAGTGGGGAGCTGGATCAAATGGAGCTTTCCAATAGAGGGAGGGAGTGATTTTTATCCATTTCCTCTGCCCTCTGAAGCCACCGCCTCCCACACTGTTCTGGGGTGCATGCCACCAACAGTTTGCTGCATATTTTGAGGGGTTGGTGGTTAAGGGGCTGCAAAGGGAAGGAGAAATCACCAAAATCTTCCTCAGCCCATGGGAATGTCCAGTTAGCAGAGTTCCACTGCAGGAAAATTGATTCTAGAGCCAATCCAATGTTCGGAATTATTGGTTGGGGTGTGTGTGTGTGTGTGTGTGTGTGTGTGCATATATGGGGCAAGATCACCAACAAAATAAGTATTTAAAAATTTCAAAGGCCAGGGTCTTCTTCACTATGTAGCTAACACTACATCCCCAAACCATTTTTCTCCTTCATCCCATTCGGACAATGGAATACGCCCCCCCCCCCCCTATAATTATAACTATTAATCTGGCTGGTCTTTTTACAGAGGACTCAGCAACAGTACTTTTCCATACAGGCAGTCAACAGGCGCAAGTTAATCTTTCACAACTATATGTTATATTTATACTTAATAAATCCTGTCAAAATCGGGGTCACTTTCTGTTACCAACCTTCAAAAATAAACAAGGGCATCCTGAAGCTGCTCTGAAATCCTGACGTGAGGAGGCAGCACCTTCTTCCTGTTCACTAGCTTGCTTTTGTACCATTCATTACAATTCAGGCACATAATATATTTTCTGTCAGCTTAAAGAAGAAGAATGGAGTACTTACCTGTAAAAAGAAAAAAGAGAGAAGATGTATTAATATGTTAAACACTGGACTAACTGCATATTTTATATTCATGGTTCTTTTTTGAATGCCATGGTTCTTTACATAATATTTATTGATTTTCCTGTCACATTAATATCTACCCTTTCTTCCAAGGAACTCAGCATATGGAGTTCAAAGACATGAACCCTATCCCAGTTGTGGTGGTTTCACAAACAGAATCATAATAGATTCCAGAGTGGAGAGCTGTGCTGTTCCTCTACAAAACAAAGCCGTTCAGTTGAGGGCTGATCTGAAGGGGCCTCCTGCAACTTTAAGTGGAAACTGGCAAAACTGGAGGTGGTACACAGCTAAAACCAGCAATGGTTTAGAATTGTAACACAATCTTCCTCCTTTTGTTTTTGTTAATTTAACATTTGCAGTGGGAAAGAAATTCATGGGGTTGTATCCAACCAAGTTCTGCTCTCCACTGAAATGTATGGGCCTACATTAGTCATGTCCATCAACTTCAAGAAGTCTGTTCTGAGAATTGGCTTTAACCCATGGTCTTAAGGTCTAAATGAGCAGAACCATTGTGTTCTTATAAATTCTAGTTCACCAATTCTCTTTGAAGCTGTTGTTGTTGTTGTTGTTGTTGTTGTTGTTGCTGCTGCTGCTGTTAAATATTGTGACTGTGGAGTCAAGACACCTTCCATCATCATGCCCAGACTGAGATCAGCACCAAACAAAGAATCTCACCTGTGCAGATAACACTCAAAGTCTCAACCATTTATGATACCATAACAGAAGAATTTACAAAGGAGGGAATTTGCCATGCACTATGTGCACGCATTAAAGGATGCCTTTGCCCATTGAGAGCATGTCTCTGACAATGTAGGAGCTTTAGTATAGTTTTAGATTATTATTTGGAAATGATGTAATGTAGCAGTGTAGCTCTATATAGAGCTACATGTGCCTTTTTCATATGTATCAGGGTTCAACACTGCTCATAAGCATAACAAACAAGATTGTATAAGATGTTAACTCAAAACAGAGCAAAATTCATCACAGCACTTTGCCTTATAGAGACGCTTGTCTAAGTAGCTTACAATTGTCTTCTTTTGAGTTCTGTTACACATTCATTACATGGATACATAAAATGACATTGTTTTTATAATGAGTTGATTCATAATTAACAGAGAGAATATACTATTACAGTGATAGATGCTATCTGGAAGATATTAACAAGCACTCAAGTGGGGTAGAATTAAGCTTAATTCCCCACCCCTATGGGTATTCATATAAGGTAAAGCTTAAAACAATTCATCTAGGAGCTGAATTGCAGGCAGAAATAAAAGAAGCTATAAAACCCACACATATCTATTATATGAGGCTGTGTTCTATAATCAATTTGTGTGCATACTAATTTGTCATATCTCATTATCTGTTTTACCTTAAAGATGTGGCTCATGGGAGTTACATTCTTTTTCTGAGACTCCTATCCTCTACACAGTTCTGCATGAGGGGCCTGGAAACTGTGTCTCACCCCCTACCCAAGTTTTGAGTACACAAACCCAATATCCCTGGCCATTGGCTATACTGGCTGGGGCAGATGTGAGTCAGAGCATGAAATTCTTAATCTTAGGGTCTTGGGTTCGAGTCCCACGTACGGTGAAAGATTCCTGCATTGCAGGAGGTTGGACTAGATGACCCTTTCCAACTCTATAATTCTGACACTATGCCTCAGTGCCACAGACTCCTTACCCCTGCTCTCAACAGTATAGTAGAAAGGCTGATTGAATAGCAATAGAGTTACTTGGTACCCAATTGCAAAGCACAGAAATTCGACAAATACAACAGGTTTAAAGGTAGCCAATAAGGTAAATTATTTGGGGGTTTGGATCACCAATAAGAATATAAACCTATATAAGGACAATTATGAGAAGAAGTGGAAGGAAAGAAATTCGACAAATCTTTTCAGCGAAGGGTTTTTCTAGTGCCTCAAAAACCTGTCATGCCTCTCTGATCAGAGGTGATGCCAGAACAAAGAAATAGGTTTGCTCAGCCGCTGCCGCAATACCCCAATCATACCACCTTCAGCTGTTCAAAAGAACACAGGCTTGTCTGTCTCTAGCCACAGTCATATTGCAGGAGCAGAAAGCCTTGAGGAATAGGAATTTGCTCTTAAAGAAAAAGAAAAGAAAAGCAAGCCGATGTGAATTTGCAAAATAAGGGGCTGTGTTCATGGGGGAAGAAATATACAAGACCCATTTAACTATAATTTTTGTCATGCATTCTCCACTTCTGACCACCAAAGACTTCATACAAATGTAAGAGGTCTCTCATTTCATAAATAACAGTGTTGTGGCACCTTAAACATATTTTTTGTGGCATAAACCAACATCTGACACAGCAGATTCTAGTCCACAAATGTTTATGTCACAATAAATCTTGACGGTGCCCCAAGACCCCTTGTTTTGTGCTCTAACAGACTAACAATGCAATTCTGTTTAAAAAAGGTAAAGGACCCCTGGGTGGTTAAGCCCAGTCAAAGCTCATCTCACTTTCAGGCCAAGGGAGCCGGCATTTGTCCACAGACAGCTTTCTGGGTCATGCAGCCAGCATGACTAAACTGCTTCTGGTACAACGGAACACTGGGGGTTTGGGCTGGGGTTCTTCATCAGTATGTAGATGATACCCAGCTCTACCTCTCTTTTAAATCAGAACCAGTGAAGGCAGTGAAGGTCCTGTGTGAGTGTCTGGAGGGGGTTGGAGGATGGATGGTGGCTAACAGATTGAGGTTGAATCCTGACAAGACAGAAGTACTGTTTTTGGGGGACAGGGGGCGGGCAGGTGTAGAGGACTCCCTGGTCCTGTGCAGCCTGGGAGTCATTTTGGACTCTCTGTTGTCCATGGAGGCGCAGGTCAATTCTGTGT